CTACAATAATATATCCAATTTTATTCATTTGGAGTTAACTGCGCACATCTAAATACATACATATAACATATTATCTTGTGCTAATTTATTAGTCTTCATAAACCACAGTGTAGTATTGAAAAAAAAAGATGGCTGAATGCATGACATATGCTGATCGGACTACTATTAAAAATGCGAAGGTTTGTTTGTTTTTTTTGTTTGCGTGCGCGTGTGTTCATGCTTGTTTATTTGCGTTTGTGTGTTTGTTACTCTAAGTAAGTCTGAGCTAAGACGGTTGCACTGATTTGGATGAAATTTAGTACATAGATAGGCCTGTACTGCACTAAGGCTGCAGTTAGGATCCTAAGGACCCAAACGAGCGAAGCGAAAAATTAACGGTTCATAAGAAAATTAGGAAAAGCGGTATACTTTATATTAAACTTTCATCTCCATTCCATTTCATTTCACTTGCTTGCTTCCCCATACAAATTTTCATCCTCATTTTTACCCCCTAACCCTACAAGGAACTCAGTGCCATATGCGGAACAATCACTTTTATTGTTCCTACAAATCTATGAAATACTATTAGCGACATATTGGTTTTTGAGGGATGTATCGCCAATGTAGCAATGATATAATTAATGCCAACAATTGTTGTCCTGTTACTGTCACTAAATTGCGAAATTTGAACCGAAGTTATGCGTTTGCCGTTTTAAATTGAAAAAATTATAAAAATAAAATATTTTAGGGTTTTGACCCAGAAAAAAATATTGCGTATTGTAAAAAAGTGTCGATTTTGCAGAGGTAAGTTAATTTTTCTATTATTGTAGTAAACCTATTGATTAATCATAATTTTATCTATGTTCCACATGCGGTACGTTGAGCCTTAGCCTTCCTTTTCAACCGATTTCAAAAAGGAGGAGGTTCTCAATTCGACTGTATGTTTTTTTTTTATGTTTGTTACCTCAGAACTCCGTCATTTATTAACCGATTTGGACAATTTTTGTTTTGTTTGAAAGGGTATACTTCCAGATTGGTCCCATTTAAATTAAAAAAAAAATACCACCCCTAAGGGTGGAAAAACAACTAATGATGAATTTAACCTACTTCTAATTGTCATATTGACTTGAAACTTTGCAAGTATTTCTATTTCCGTTGATAGTACAGTGGTTCGGTGTTGTTGACCTGATCTGATGGCAAGGCCAGAAGGTGGATAGGTGGAACTCTTCAACGGCTAATAGTAGATACTTTGAGTTTGGGCTTATTTTGTTTGATTTGACAAGCCTAACACGTTAGAATCCTTACTTTGCTACTACTGTCTACACTAAAAAGGGAAAAATAAAAACTTTTTAACAAAAAAAATAAAAACCGACTTCAAACAAAAGAACTAAAAAGTAAAAAATAACTGATTGGTAGTTTTCATTTACTATACATACCTAATCAAATATTTTCGAAGTCGGTGTGCTTTAGCTAAGTAATTAAAGCCTACCTATTAAATACATACCTAATCAAATATTTTCGAAATCGGTGCCAGCCCATACAAAGCAAAGCACACCGACTTCGAAAATATTTGATTAGGTATGTATAGTAAATGAAAACTACCAATCAGTTATTTTTTACTTTTTAGTGCTTTTGTTTGAAGTCGGTTTTTATTTTTTTGTTAAAAAGTTTTTTTCAAATACGTATTTACTAAAGTGTACTTATGATTACTTTTATTTATTACAGATTATATCGAGAAAACGATTGTGTAATGGAGATATTGAACCTTTCTTGGGTATACCCTCAGAGAGAGAAGATGGCGAGGACTTCTCGGAAGAGGAAAGTAATGAACACATAGAAAAAATTCAGTGTGCTGCCAATTTTTCCTCTGAATCCCTTAGCGATGTGGAAGCATCATCATCACCACAGTTACGTTATTGTTTGTCTTCCGTTAACGAAGATGTTCATTTATCGAGCGAGCAGGAGATATTAAACCCTGATCCCAGTCCTTCAGGTGTGACTCCAGCGATAACGAGACGATCATCAACTTCTGTGAGTATTGCTTTTGCTAACAGAACTACAACCCTAGGCTGTGAACTGAAAACTCTGAACTAGAACGCCTGGTATCCAAAGGAAGAAAAGGAACTTCATTTGGAAAAAAAATATTTTTAATAACACAACACATTCTCAGTTTACTGGAAATGTAAACTTGCAGACACCAATTATAGAATTTGAGATTCCCTTTCAATTTTTCATGGTTTTTTGATAAAGAACTACTGGGGCATGTAGAAGAATTGTACAAATTCAATATTCAAAAAAAAATCTTCAAAACCATTAAAAATTATAGTTGTTGTTGAATTGAAAAAGTTTTTAGGTGTCTGTCTGACCATGAGCTTGTCACTATTGCCAAATATCCGAATTTATTGGGCATCCGAATTGGATGATTCCTCTGATTATGGAGACAATGTTGCTAAATCATTTCAAAAAACCTGCCAGTTCCTCCATTTCAACGTCAGGGCATGATTGTTAACATAAAATCAGGCTTATATTGAAACCAATCCAACTGAAATTGAAGGACCTCTTCTTCTTTCTTGCTTGTGTGGGACATTGATCACCAAGAACAGAAACAGACCGTCAAGTTTGCCTGATCAAATTTAAATAAATAAAACAAGGCGAATACGGCAGTGCTACCTCCTCGTGAAGTCAGACGTAACGGGTTTGAGCATTTTCATGTCTGGGGTCAAAAAAAAAAACAACACTGTAAGCCGGCAAAGGAAAAACATTTATATCACGTGAAAAATGTCGAGTTGAACTGTGCCTCAATAAGGATAATAATTGTTTTTGAAATTTTCACCAATAGGTATTTTTATAAAAAATATAATACAACATACACTACCAAAAAATAATAGTTAAGGCTCAGTGTATATATGGAACTAAAATAAAAAACTGATCTTCTAATAAAAAAAATGGTTTTGATGTTTCTATAACTTTTTCCTAAGTACTAATTAGTGACTCACGTCATCACATATATTTTTATCAGCCACAGAAAAAATATTGAGCCTTGTAGGGTCAAGGGAAGATTTCCTGGATAAAAACTATTTCACTCTCTCACTTTTCATATCATGAGATTTAAAAAAAAATATTTTAGTAAAAAAAAATCTTTTAATTTTATTATCTACAAAACTTCCTGACAATAACAATTAAAAAAAGTATCCAATTTGGTGCAGTCGATCCGAAGTTATGCGTGTACATACATTTCGGTGATTCATTTTTATTTATATAGACAAAATGGATTATAAAAACTACGTTAGCCTAAATGATGAATAAAAACTTTTTAAGTCAATTGACGATATGTCATTTATCAGTCATTGTCATTGAAATGTATCGATTCGGTGTTTCATGTTAAATTATATAATTGTTTATCTAATGAATTAAGCGGATTGATATCAAGCGGAGATAAAGTAAAGAGTGGCGACTCACTATAATATTATAATTATATTCGTTTTTTGAATTCTTCATAATAAAATATTTAGAAACGAAATAAGTTTGTGTACCTACTGATAACAGGTTCCATTACAGGACTGGCTTAAAAATATTATTTATTACTGGATAATATATAAATATACTTTTTTATTTATTTGTATTATAAGGAAATTACTTAGTCCTAACCATTTTTTTTTTCAATCATATGTAAAATTTTATAAAGTTTTTTTTGTATTTTATAGTCTATTATACCTATAACCTTTAAAACAAAATACGTGAAAGAAGTCGCGAACAAAAACCTATTTTTTTATACGATTGTTTATTTTTTCATTTATAAGAAAACAGTATGGGCTTTGAATGAGTGGCGCAGTGGTATATATTAGCAGAGAGGTTGCATGTTCGAATCTTGTACATGGCAAATATTCTTTGTTTCCTTAATTATTTTTGTATTATAATGTAAAACCGCAAAAATTATTTATAGTCATGATTATTTTTTAAAATGTAAGAAGATTATTGGTACGCAATAACTTTTTGTTATCACTGATAATTACTTCAGTAATCAAAATAATTAAGTGTTATCTTATCCTTAACATATTTTAATCGTATTTGGTAATACAAAATTAGATATTTTAATCAAAATAGCAGACTGCTGATATTTTTTTATGTTCTTCTATATTGCTATTATTATGTAACTTGTAAGTGAATAATGTGTATATTGATAAACATTGTTTTTTTTTTGGTTTTTTACAAATTTTATGTTTTTATTTTAAATGTTAATTTTGTATTTACTTAACATATTTATTACCATTGTACCATATACAAATCCTTTAACAAAAGGACGTTTTAAAACAATTCTAAAAGAATTTATTTACTTGCATAGCAAAAAAGGTAAAGAGTAAAAAATACTTACAATTCAATTTTGGTAGGCAATTTTTTATCCACCATTAACGAGGATTGGCAGCTGTGTCGGAAGTCACGAGTTCAATTTCCGCACAAAGCGAATCTTATTATAAACGAAAATTCAAATGAAAGTGCTTTAAAAACTTACCTTGGGTAGAAAAGAATATTTGTTTATCTTTCCTTTATTTAGATTTTCTATTTCAATTGAAAAATACAGGGAGCTTTTATTATAAAAAAATTTATACTCACCTATATACCGTTATACTTTTTTTTCTAACTGGAAAATGCATTATGCGTCTTTTCTGCGTGAAGGCTTGATGGCGCCTACCGGACAATACTATAATTTACCTTAAACCCACAATTCTAGGGATAAAATCATATTAACAGGTCACGAATGAGCTAGATTTAAAAATTAGAAAGCGCCATGACAATGAAGAAATAGAGTTCCCTATTAATATTGCCAAAAATTAAAAAAGTTTTTTTGAATTTTCTTTTTTATATTTGTCAATATTTACAGACCCGCAAAAATTGGTTGATTTCACATAAAAACCAATTTAGATCACCTGGAAATTTCTTTTGTGGGACCTATATACTTAGTTTATAAATATATGGTGTTCATATTCATGTATAATTTATTATATAATCTTTGCATTTTACAGAAAAAAGAAGAAAGATGGTGGAACACCTTAATGCAGGTCGCGGTTCCGTTCTTCATAGCCGGCTGTGGAACCATCGGCGCGGGATTGGTTTTGGGGACAGTCAGGGTAAGCTATTATTTATTATTTTTCTTCTAATAATTAATCTCTATCTTCTACTTAATATAAATTAAATAACTAATTGATTGATTAAATAACTACCTAATCGATTCACTAACGGACTAACTAAATAGCTGACTGAAAGACAACAAATAGTCTGCTGGGTGAAGCAAAAAATGTGATTTATTATTAGGAATATTTAAAGAGGATGAAGATATTTGAAAATCTTCACCTAAATGAGTTAAATAGAATATGAAAGTTTTTATGAAAGAAGGCCTTTTTCGAAATAATAAAATTCTGAGTTGAATCTGTACATTAAATATTTTTAGGAAAATCTTATTGAAATAGTCATTATTATTTATTATCGATACAGAGGCCGAATCTATAGTTTTTAGAATTTTTATCTGTCTATCTGTCTGTCTGGGAAAGCATGAAATTTTGATGAAATCTGGGTCAACATTTAGGATAATTTTTATTGTGTGAAAATATCGTAAATATCATCTCTGAGATATCTATACTAAACGTTAAAACGTAAAAAGGGACAAACCCGAGCGGAACGAGGATGAATCAGTAGTTAGATTATTATAAAAGTATTGATATTAAATCTTCTGTTTATATAACCGATAGGAAATAACATCGGGTTCGTTGCGTGTTATTTATAAAATCTTTAGATTATTTATATGTCTAATCTAAGTAAAGTCTAAAGTCTAGTTATCTGGTCAGTGGCGTACATATTTCTCGATATTGCAGAAGATTAAATTGTTGCCATGTTTACAAAAAAAAAACAAATATTTTTTTGACAACCTGACTTAAAAGTATGTAATAAAAATTATGCTTATAAAATTATTATCTATATATCATTATACTAAAGAATATGGTGTCGTAAGAACTTAAACCTATGGTATGTAATGACATAAATCTTAATACATGTAGTAATAAATAGAAGTAGATATCATACATATTTAAATTTGCCTGGAAAAGATAGATCTTACCTTTTCTATTAGGTATATTTTATATATTTTCTCTTAATAGTAGGGGAGCCCAAGAGGGGATTTTCTGTAGTTACTCGAGCGCGGCAGATTAACATAAAAGTACGCTTAACGCGTAACGCTTGAGTAACTACAAAAATTCCCTCTTGGGCTCCCCTACTATAAACAATTTGTTTAAGCGCTGTAAAATCTAGGGGAATTCCCACTAACGCTTCAATTTTTCTTAAAATATATTTGTCGACAAGTTTGGCTCAGCTTGTAGTGACCCTGCTTGCTGTGCCAGCGGTCGCGGGTTCGAGTCCCCTGGGGTCATTCATTTGTGTAATGTGCGCGAATATTTGTACTCCAGTCATGGGTATTTATATTTATAATATGTATGCATTTAAATTTATATATGTGTAGTGTATGTACTATCTGGTATCCATAACACAAGCTTCGTAGCTTACCATGGAAGTAGATGGTGCTGTGTGGTAATGTCCCAACATAATTTATTATTTTTATAAATACATTGCTAATCTAATTGATGAATAGGATTAAGGTCAATGCAAGACGTAAATAAACCACAGACGAGTTATCTGAATAGATAGTTAAAGAACAATGAGTACTTTGGATTTTCTTAGTTATTACTTATTACATTACAATTTCCATTGTAGAGTTCTGTTTATTATAATTTATGTTTGTATGAAATTTGCTATTTTGTTTTACATTTTTTTGATTTTATTATCTGAAAGTTACTTTCTTACATTTACGCGAATATTTGATATTTTAAAGAAAAATTATATTTTCGTTTTATCGACGTTTCGAATGCTTTTGAAACTTTGTTAGAAGTTTTTGAATTATTTGAATTCATTTCGTAAAAATGAATTCATGATGTAAATGTGTTAATGTGTAATGTCTGTAATATCTATATAATGCCTTTGAGACATCTAAAGCTTTAGTCTCTGACCATGATAGCTGTAAAGCATTCGAAACGTCGGGAACCAAAAATCAAAATAAATCCGCGAAAAATCTGAAAAGATAGTTTTATTTAAAATATCAGAAAGTAAGGCAAAGGTTATCAACAGCTTTGAAGAATCCATCATTTGGTCAATTCGAAAAGCTTCGATCGTATATAGGATTCGTGTCCTTCAGCCATTGGCTTCAAACACAACTAGATGAAGAATTGTATTAAACTGGCTTTTAAATACACAACTGTATTAAGATTAGAACAGATAGACTTTAAATAGACAGACAGGCGTCAAATTTATAACTTATTCTTATTTTTCGTCGGAAGTTAAAAAAATATTTTCATAAATGCTTATATGCATTTTTGACCAACTTCAAAAAACAAGTAACTTAATTCTGATGATTTTTTTGGGTATATTGACGTTATTGTTAATTTTGTACAGGTTCTAATTTTTTTTTTACTAAATAAGTACATATAAAATTTAAAAAAAAACTCGGGTGGGATATAAATAAAGGAAATAAAAATAATAAGCGCTTTTAACTTATGTGCAATATGTTTTAGTACTTAAATGTAATTACTATATATTTCTATATTGACTTAGTGGTCGTAGTAGCCTTTACCTATATTTTAGATCTTAACCTAACACCCCACTCCACTTGCGGTTGACCTGACTTTGACAGAGACATTTTGTTGGGCACATGGTCAAGTACTTCTTGCTATACCTTGCTGACAAGTATGTTACAATTAGGCAGTGGCAGCCCAGTAGTAACGCGCTTGCTTAGGAAACCAAGTAAAGCTGGTGCCACTCCGGGTTTGGCATCCCTGATATTTTCTTCTTAGTCTTACGGTAAAGGAAAACATCGTGACGAAACCTGCATTTTTGAAAGAACGTAGCACGTATTCGAAAAACATGTGCCTGAATGAATGACATCTACCAACCCGCATTTACTCCCTCGTATTGAAGGGAGGCCCGTGCCCAGTAGTGGGTCTTTAAAAAGTGCTGTATACGTAGTTAATTTTCAAAGTAATTGCTAGATAAAAAATCCTTCATATTATGTTAAAAAATAGATTAAAAAACGAGTTTTAACTCTTGTGAATATTTTAAAAGCCAAAATGTGTGTCAGTGCTTTTTTATTCTTCCTTCACGCAGCAATATACAATCGATTTTATTTAATTTTTTCGCTCAGATGTAGTTTTAGGCCACAAAGTACCATATAGTAATTTTTATTATGATAAAGTAGTTCCTTCTTTATTTATATTTCTACCAGTTTTCAGTCAAATTTATTTATTTTTTTATTTCTTTTATATTTTACAGCTTATACACTAGAGATATAACCATTTACATAGGAATTATAAGTAAATAATAATTATATAATCGCTCCAAGCAATTCATAAAACTAATCAACCTCTAAGAAGCAATTAAACAATAAATATGAGTAATTATAATAAAATTTCTTTATTCCTTTCGCCATTTATCACAGAAGGATTTAATTTAGCCTTGTGATAATAAAAACTATTATGTATAAGTGTACTGAAATAGTGTTTATCATTTCAAAGAAACTCTTATCTAAAAGACAGTATAACAAGTTAATTAAGACAATGGTAGCCCCGTGGCGACGCGCTCGTTTGGGAAACTGAGTGAAGCGGGTTCAAATCCCGGGTCTCGCACCACTGATATTTTTCATGTGCGAATCATTACCAACATAATTACCACTTGTCTTACGGTGAAGGGAAACATCGTGAGGAAACCTGCATGTCTGAGAGAACCTAGCAAGTTTTCGAAAGGCGTGTGAATCTGCCAACCCGCACTTAGCCAGCGTGGTGGACTATGGCCTTATCCCCATCGAATGAAGGGACGCTCGTGCCCAGATGTGGGACGTTAAAAGGGACTGAATACATAACAAGTAAATACATACTGCGTTTCTTAACACCGCCATGTAAATTTCTAAGAAATTAATTAAAATTCTAAGAAATCTGTTGTTAACCGACAGGCCGGCGTGTCCGCGGTCGTGGAGGGATTAAACACTAGAAGCTATTTGTAATTTACTTAATAACACTTTATTAGATACGTATGTACCTCTGAATAGAAATCTTCATATGAACAGTACGTGAGAATTACCTGTCAATGACATGGTATTAGCTTTAATACCAGCTTTATGTAACAGTATCTATCTAGATGCATTATGTGCTACCACTTGAATAAATCTTTTGTATGTGAATTGTACCGCTTATTAAAGGCAGTTCTCAATAACCTATCTATTTGCAATTTTCCTTACAAAAGATAGAAATTTTGACATAAACTCCATACAAATTATGCCTGTAGCAAAGGATAATGATGACGTTATTATGAACCGGTGTAAATAAATAGCCAAATTCGATTCTCGTTTAATGCATGTTTTGTACTATAACGGTAAACGAGGTTAACAAGTTTTAAATGGATGTGAGTGATGAAATTTCAGACTAATCTCGTATCTTGGTAATAATTTAAAAAAATATCGTCTTAGACGGAAATCAAACTTAATATTGAATAGTAAAGAACAGGGCTTTTACGTTTTTCTAAACAGAAGAATACCGGTCTTTAGTGGGAGATTTTTGCAAAAAATGTCTTTGCTTCGTATCAGTCATATGGCGATAAACATCATCAAAACATGTACAGTTAATTGGCCAAAAAGTTTTTAATGATAGTTTTTATGAAAGTTTTTATTATGCCTGCCTAAAGACAGAGCACATATTTCGTGCAGTACTATGGCGTAGAAGCCTTTGATGTCATATGGGTAGCTTGTCATAGACGTAAGGCAAAAAGGCATTAACACGTTCACTGCGTCATCATTTTGAAAGAACTTTCAGACGGTGCTTTGGAGACCTAAAAGATCTCGAAACTAGCCTACCCTTTGGTGCGTTAGAGACCTAATCAGCCTCCTAAAAATACAGTTTTGAAAATAATTTATATCTTCCAAAAAACTAATGACATATATTTTTAAGTTTTTGTGGGTCAAGAGAGCCTATTGCTCTACATTTTGCTAGGTTCGCACGCAGTTATGACATTAGAATAAGCTACGAATACCAAAAAAAAATTAGATATCGATTGTATCTCGTACCGCAACCGAAGATAGTTCAATATGTGTAGTAAGTAGTGATGGGAATAAAATAATATCTCAGTTGTCGATTGAAAAAGTTTTATTAAAGAAGTTTATTTATAAACTATGCAAAGTGTTTTTCATTAAAACATAGTAAGCACATTGATTATTTGCATTGCGCGCAAATGGTATTTTTTCAGCTTTTTTTAGAAGCGTCAGTGCTGTTTAATGTGCGTCGTAATTTTTCATAACAACCCACACAACGTCTTTTTTTGTCGCCACGTTGGAAAACATGATCTGTACATCTTCCTTCGGGGAATTCTGTAATAAAAAGCATTATATTTTCCAAAATTGTAATTACTGGGCGATGCAGCACTATAATTTTACACTTTTTCGAAACGTGCGCGCACCTCCCTTTCTTGCGTCTACGAGGCGTACGATTCCACGAGTATCGACATGTCTCCTAACGCAAGGAATAAAAATAATTATACTACTGTGCGTTAGGGACCTAATCCATCTCTATTTATTTTTTTTATGTCCTCGAATTCACCTTTAAGTAGGAAGCAAATATGTATATTTGTCTTACTCATACTTAAAGAACTTTACACGTTAGAGCCTCCCGCAAGGAGTGAAACAACACGATTATAGTCAACGCACAGTACAAAAGTCCTGCAAGAGATCTGATAGATCTCGTAATGCAGCGAACGTGTTAAAATATTTTTATCTTTATGTATAGCATTTTCAGTATTAAGAATTGAAAACTCTAAAATAACTAAATAATTTTCGTTTCTTTACAGAACTGGGAAGTCTTTCTTGAAGTAAACGCCATATTCGTCTTAGTGCCATCTCTATCGGGATTAAAGGGTACGTTAAATATTATACTCGTAATTTTTTTATCGACATCAATAACTGCATTAAATTGAAAATTAAAAAATCCTCGACCATTTTGGACCGATTTTCATCAAACATAGCTAAAAATACTCCCGACTAATTCGCCTTTCAAACAAAGAAAAACAAAATCAAAATCGGTTCATCCATCCGGGAGCTACGATGCCACAGACAAACACACATACACACACAGATACGTCAAACTTACAACACCCCGTCGCCTTTGCGTCGGGGCTTAAAAAAGGAAATACTCAATTCTGATTATATTTTGTTTGTGTATGTTACGCATTATCTACGCTAATTATGAACCGTTCATATGTATATTTTTAACTGGTGATTCACCCTAGCTTCGCTCGGGTTCGTCCCTAGGTTGACTCCCCGTAAAAACTTTCATCCCCATTTTTACCCCCTTAAGGCATGATTTCTGGAATAAAAAATATCCTATGTCCTTCCCAGGATCTCAAACTATCTTCTTACCGAATTTCATCCAAATCGGTCCAGTAATTTTTGAGTTTATTCGTTACAAACATACAAAAACACAAATCTTTCCTCTTCCTATTAGTGTAGATAAACACGTTTTATCTCAAGGGTGGTGACATATCAATATTTATTATAAACTCCAAATGGTATCTCTGGATCCATCCTATTTGTCTAGATCTTAAGATACTTTAAAGATACTAATTGAAGTTAAGTTATATATCTTTATATTCTACATTATAAAGAAACCATGTATTAAAGTCAGCTCATGATTTCACTGTACATGCGCATGCGCAACAGAAAGTCTAAAGACGTTTATTTTTTTATTTTAATCCTTACCCAAAAATCAAATTAACATAAACTTCTTATAATACTTTCTTAGATTTACGCGAATATTTGACGTTTTAAATAAAACTATCTTTTCAGATTATTTCACGGATTTATTGTGATCTTTGGTTACCGACGTTTCGACGAAACCAAAAATCTAAATAAATACGCGAAATAATCCGAAAAGATAGTTTTATTTAAAATAAACTTTTTATATTTTTACATGCATATAAAGTTTTAAATTACCTGTTTTTTTATATACCTGTAAAAAATATCTGCGTAATCCATGTTATGTCTATGATAAACATTGGATCTGTTATCAGTCATACAGTGAGCAATACTTTTACTATTCATAAACGACGGCGTTACGTTACTCAATTTTCCACCACAATAGCAAAGAATTATCTTTTATGTTGAAGCTCAATTAAACGTACACAATGTTTAACAATTATTATTTATTAGTACCTATTTTGAAGCTGTTTTTATTGTGTTTATGGTAAACTTACCTTTGCCTACGGTACTGGTCGCGTTATTAGACTACTTTTTAGCTAGTACATGAAGTAATTTTCTATTTCATAACATAACATTTTTTAATTATAAAGGACGCTGATTTGAAAATTATTTTAAAAGTAATTTATTAGACTTATTATTATGATTTATAATTAAAAATATTTTTTTTAATCATGAAAATGGACTACGACATCGCGTAACATTCGAAATACAAAAGATTTAGATTATAATTAATAATTAAAGACACACAGCCACACACACACGAAGTATGTAGTCCTGTAGATTGGTCCACGAACGTCCACCCTAGAAGAAATAGCTTTTGTGTGTGCACGAAACGCAGACATTTCGATTTCTTGATTGACCAGCGCCGTCGACACTGTCTATACTTAAATACTATATTTAAAAAAAGAATTAAACACATACCTAACCTTAAGGCGCTACCCTGACCAAATAACCTTGAGCATTCGTTCCCTCTTTGCCGCACCTCACCTCTATAATACTTCGTAAAGCAGTACTAGCGCCATCTAGCGATCACCTTCCGAATACAAGTAAAAATCGCAGACCTAAGAATTCACAGACATGGCATTATGGCATTCAATAAAAATATCTTTTTATGAAATGTTTATTGGTGCGCCAAAATAATTTTGATCATGATGAATCTAGTGACTATACTTACGTTCATGAATACTTCTAACATTTATTCATTTAAAAGTATTAAAGGTATTCTATAATAAAGATTGTGCGGTGTTTATTTTTTAGATTGAAGGTTTATTTGTAATTCAGACCGTGGGTGATTGATAAAAGCAGAAAAATTAAATAACCAAGTCAATTTTATCATCATTTATTATTTTTTAGTAGGTTTTTTAACAGGTATTGCTAGCAGTGTCAAATAAAATATTCTAGAGAAACTCTGCAGACGTGATATTGACCACTAGTGCTGTTGTTAATAAATTGAGATTTTTTTTATCGTTACCCATCACGTCTATGAAGTTTATACAAAAAAAAATTAGGTTTTAGTCTGAAACATCATTAACTGTGGTCAATGACCTCACAAAAATCATCTTATTATGTTATGGTTCATTTTAGTTTGTTTATACAACGTGTAAGTAAGGGTATAGTCATATGAAAGTGTGTGCTGGAGACAATCTAACTGAGAACTTTATCGATGGGAACACCATCATAATCGAAAAAAATTATCAACGGCCCCATTCAAAAAGTATGTATAAGAAAGCTGATATTTTTTTACGATGACTATACGCTTTTTGTTACACGTTGTTTAACGATACTCATCATATTCGATCATCGATATTAATTTCTATACATTCTGTATACTGTTTACACAATAATATAAACTAATATTATTGTGATGTGAGCGAACAAGTGCACGAGTGCCGACGCGGCGCGATGACGAACGACACGTGTTTCACCCTCGAGACCTTGTGGCACACTAACTCTGCGCAAGAGTTACGTAGCGAGTACGCTTAGATTTTAGAATAAAATCTTTATAAAATCAATTTTTTGTGTTTTGAAAAAAATAAAACTACCAAAATGTTCTCTATTTAATTACCTATCCATTAGTTAAGGAAGCAAATCAAAATAATGGTTAATTTAGGAGGAGATGCATGTTATAAATAATTATTTCTCATTTCTGTGGTTTTTTTGTGGCCCTTTAATTAAATATTATGCTGCTTAAAAAAAAAAACTACCATTTTGGAGTCAAGATTATGTAGAAATTTAATGTATTTTTTATTAGTTGTTATTTCTTTTAGATAAAGAGAAGTTGGCTCCCAAAAACAGCCTAAAAACGGCTAACGCTGCGTTTCGCACGGGAACGCGCCTTAACTGTAAAGTCTGTATAGTATACCTATGCCCTAGACCCTAGTGTATAGACTACGCCGAATGACCCGAGTCGAGTCTCGGTAGGAGTCACCTCGACTTTCGTCTTGTGATTCCTCGCTTTTACGAGGAATCGAAGTAAAATGTATGAAATATATTTTTTCTATGCAATATCTTTTTTATTGACATAGGTATTTTCAATGTGTACTTATTATCATTATCTGCGTAATAATAAGCCCGACATTAGAATGATAGATATAAAGTATCTTTCTTTCTATGTTTATTTAACGTACCTATTATATTTGACTACATTGTTAGTGTAGTGGCTAGCATGTCCGCCTACACATCCGGAGGTCCTAGGTTCGAGTCCCAGGTCGGGATAAGCTTACTTATTGAGTCTTTCTGTTAACGAAGTCCCAGTAATAGTAAGGAGTAACTAAAAACTTTTGCATCCGTCGTGGGTTTCTTGAAATTTCAATAACAACTATTTAGTTACGTCAATATAACGACATAAAAAATGTAAATTGCAGCGCCCCCCTGGCAAATACACCATAACACCTACGAGCTCGAACTCGTATCTAAGTACCACCGCCGATGAATTCGCGTAAATCTAAAAAGTATTACATATACCTAGTTTATGGTTTTTTTTTCTTATTTGCAGGCAACCTCGACATGTGCCTCGCATCTCGTCTGTCCACTCAAGCAAACCTCGGGAACATGCAGTCGCCCCGGGAAGTCATATCCATGGTGGTTGGAAACATATCATTAGTTCAGGTTAATATTATTGTTCTCTAACTATACCTCCAGTGGTAGCCCAGTGGTAACGTGCCTGCTTGGCATACCGAGTTAAGCGGGTTTAAATCCCGGGTCTAGCACCTCTGATATTTTGCCCGCCTTGGCCAGTATGGTGGACTATGGCCTGATCTATCCGTATTGAAGGGAGGCACGTGCCCAGCGTGGAACGTTAAAAAGGGCTGAAAACAACTATACCTCGTGGTTTCACATGTTTTTAAATCTCTAATTAGACAAATCTCCAGGATATTTCATCTTTTTCATGAAAACGACTCAATGATTTTAATATAATTATACGCCTGAAATTATATTATACTAGCATTGCCCGCGGCTCCGCCCGCGTTCAGATGACCAAAAACTAAATTCTTAGGTGTTACATATTAGTATACTCTTACATTGCAGTTTTTGTATTTTTCCTCAGAAATAAGATATTTTCCCGCGGTAAAAAGTATCCTAGGATCGCGCGCTACATCGCCCGGTTTATATAGCTTGAGCAGGCGGTCGAGCGATGCGGGGCAGAGGGGATGGACTCGCCGTAGGCATCTCAATGCTCGCCAAGCATTAAAAATGTTTCGCTACTAATTACTTCTAACAACGATATCTCAAAAACTATTCATCTGATTGATTTAGTGTAAAGAGCAATTTTAATCTGCATTAAATGACTAAGCTAACTAAAATATTCATTTGGATAAGGATTAATACCGAACTAAAGAAAATAACTTTGAAAATAACGTAATGTTTTTAATTAAAAATGTTAACATAAAAGTGGTTATTGTAAGTCAACCGTAAGAGATAGAGATATGCTATCGCGGACTTTTTTGTAGCATTTTTATAGATTTTGAATTCTCTAGTACATTACTTAACTGTATCTTTGCTAGTTTACGCGGCGTTCGCGTGGAAAGTTCCCATTTGGCGAGATTTTTTGCGACCTCTTCAACATTTGTCGCCGTATTTCAGCTAATTTACATAAAAGCATAATAAATTATATACCTAAACCTTCCTCAAGAATTACTCTTTCTATTGTTGAAAACCGTATAAAAATCCGTTCAGTAGTTTTCGAGTTTATCGCGTACAGACAGACAGGAGGACAGACAGGAGGACAGAAAGACGCGGCCGGGGGACTTATTTTTATAATAAGTATAGATAGATAAAAATTTAAAGAAAACTAAAATTTTAATCTCCACCGAATGTATACTAAGTATTATGTAATTTTTCAGGTGCAAGCAATAGTTGCAGCTACCGTGGTGGCAATGTTTGCGATCATCGTCAACACCATCGTGGATAGGGGTTTTAATGGAAACTACGTTCTTTTGCTCATTGCCTCTGCTATATTCACGGCTACCACCACTTGTTTTGTATTAGGTGAGTGACATTATTATATTATATGATCATTTTATAATAAAAGTGTCTTCCACGAATTCGGCCACCGCAGCCAATCTCCCTGCTATCTAAGTAGGATATATTATAGTGTACGAGCGCATGTACCAAATTTTATTGATCTACCTACCTAATTTAAACTCCAAAATAAAATTATGCTTAAAATCATAATCTGGCGTGACGACATATTTTTAGGATTATGCTAAATTTAATATTATAGGGGTTAAATACTTTATGCGATTTTGCGAATATTTGACATTTTAAATATAAATCTTTTCGGATTTTTTGCGGATTTATTTTGATTTTTGGTTCTCGACGTTTCGAAGCTTCACAGCAATCATGATCACGGAAGAGACTAAGTTTTTAGACTCATGATTGCTGTAAAGCATTCGATACGTCGCGAACCAAAAATCAAAATAAATCCGCGAAAAAATCTAAGAAAGTATTATACCAATGATGGTTATATAACCATATTTTTTCAGACTTCGTGATGGTAATGGTGATATTCGGATCTCAAAAGTTCAAAGTGAACCCGGATAATGTGGCAACACCCCTCGCCGCGTCCATTGGCGACATTGTAAGCAACTCCGTGCTAGCTGTCACCGCTCAATACATGTTCGAACAGATAAGTGAGTATTTATAGCTCTAAAATTATATACGTTTACTAGCATTGCCCGCAGCTCCTCGCGCGTTCAGATGAATAAACACCAAATCTTATTTTTTACATATTAGTATACTCTTACATTGCAGTTTTTGTATTTTTTCTCAGAAATGAGACATTTTCCCGCGGTAAAAAGTATCCAATATAATGACCCGGATAACCAGCTATCACCATACAAAATTTCATCAAAATCCCTCCAGTGGTTTTTCTGTGATGCGGTAACAGACAGACAGTCGGACAAACAGACAGACAAAAATTCTAAAAACTATAGATTCGGCCTCTGTGTCGATAATAATGTTTATTTCAATACAATTTTTCAAAAAAAATGTATGTACAGATTCGGCTTAGTTACAATTTTATTATATGTATAGATTAACAAATTAGCAATATTAGCGCAATGCTTGTATGCCTTATTGCCATATATTTTATTGTTTTATTTCAAATAACCTCTTTTATAATATTAGTATAATAAAGATGTCTGGCAGGCGCACAGCTATAAAGTAAGCGCTAGTCTTTGTCTGCCTTCAATTAAAGTTATTATTATTTATGACAGTAAATAAATTTTTATCGAAATAAAATATTATCTTTATAGTGCTATAGAACTCTGCGGTAATATAGCTTCCTATCAAGGAAAGAATTTTTAGAATCTGATCAGTAGTTTTAGAGATTACTCCCTACATATAAACTTCCAAACTTTACCTCTTCATAATATTAGTATATCAGTGTAGTATTAGATAAATTAAAGATTTTATTTAAATGTCTTTTTGACCGACTTCAAAAAAGAGAATTATAAATTCAGTTATATATCTATTGGTGTTTATGAATTATGATAATTAAACGTGAACGTGATTCTATAAAATAAATCAATTAAAACCACTAATTAACCACTCTTTAGAGTGAAAAAGCTTTACGGACTTTTTTTAAAAATTGAAAGTAATTTAATAATTTATGTTATCAAATGGCATTATTTATGTTACTTAGTACAGACATTATGATTGTTATATTACATTTAGACAAAGCAAAAAAAAAAATTATATATGTCTAATATATTTAATTTTTTCTTCAGAAATATCCTTATGGCAACCTATCGCTCTCCTGTGTGTGTACTACTGCCTCCTTCCCATGTGGGTGTACATTGTGTATAAAAATAAATACACTAAGACAGTCTTAACTACGGGCTGGACCCCTGTTATTTCTGCACTATTTATTAGCGGGTAAGTTGTATTTCGTAGTAATAATTGTATTCATGGCCTAGAAAATCTTAAAACAAATTATGTTATAAGATTCTAGTTTTAAGGTTGCACACATGAGCCTAGGAAGCGAGGTTTCGAACCCTCTCATTCATTTCAGTTTATGCCTAGCACCTACAATTATAGGGCTATAGCGACTATTGTTTTTAACCGTTATCTATACTAATATGTGAAAGTTTGTAAGTATAGATGTATGGATGTTTGTTACTCTTTCACGCTAGAACGGCTGAACGGATCTGGATGAAATTTGGCACATAGATAGATTATAGTCTGGAATAACACATAGGTTACTTTTTATCCTGGAAAAATATACGGTTCCCGAGGGATAGATTTGTTTTTGTTTTTCTAGTTATTTAGCGCTATCTAGTTATATAGCGCTAGTTTATTCATAAACGTAGATTAAGTTTCAAAAATATATTAAACATTTTTTTTTTTATTCAGTATCGGTGGCATCGTTCTTGACCAGGCGGTCGACAAATATCAAGGATACGAAGTATTCCAGCCCATTGTCAACGGTATTGGTGGTAACCTGGTGTGCGTCCAATCTTCGAGGCTTGCCACCCATCTGCACCAGACCGCCATCCCTGGTATCTTACCTGAGAACACGAGGATAATCGAGTGGCCGTGGAAGACATTGTTCTATGGAAGTGAGTATTTTACAGACGATAAGTTAACTTTGACAGATGTATGTATGTATATACATAGATAAAAAATATAAGAATATGTAACAAATTAAATATCAGTAAGCTTAGTAGTCATAAATAATCGAAAAAATGTAAGTGAGCTTTTATGGTTGTGACGAACGGTTTTTTTATTAAATAACGATAATATTTTTAGTCTATTTAATTTTCTTCTTAATGGCTCCAAAAAGTGCCAGTTGAGCGCAGATTATTTCGCCAATGTCATATAGAATGGAGAAGACACGAAGGAGATTGGTTGATTAAATATTTTTATAAAAACCTATGATTCTAATGTTATCTTTTATTTTTAGCTCCTGCCGCTAAAGTAGCGCGAATGTTGTTGGTGCTAGCGTTGTGTGGTCAGATCGTCTTCATGGTAGTCGCGGACTTCGTGTACCAAGGCTTTGTGTCGCTAGAGTTCGCGTTCGGAGTTACTTACCTTTTATGCTCTGTTGTTCAGGTTCGTTATATTTTGTTTGTTTTTAGAAGTAAGTCTCTTATGTTGTTTATTTTATTTGTTTTTGGTTATTCATCAGTAGGTATAAGTAAATAATAATATGTCACAATCTCAGACTAAAGAATTAAATGTAAAAAAATCAAAAATCAAAATAAACCCGCGAAAAATCCGAAAAATTAATGTCAAAATTCTCTTCTCCTTGAAAGAGGATAGCACAATATTAGCTTATTATTTCCTTTATTACAATAAAATCCGTAAGCAATATACATTTATTAACATTTTATTTATTTATCACAGTAATGAGTTATATTTTTATTAATATTTGTATACTGTTTTAAAACTTTATTGTTTGGCTTCATGTTTAGTTCTATAACATAATATATAGATTTAGTTTTATAACATAGATAGATCTATCTATATTTTTCCTTAGTCTGAGGTCGCCATATAAAAAAATATACGTTTAGCAATGGTATTCCAGGTATACCAGCATACTTTATTATTAGTAACCGCTGTGCGTCCCTTTCTATTTTGAATTGAATCGGGATAAAATAATCTATATTATTTAAATACAAAAAATTACTAAATTGCAGGCTCTGTTATGTTAAAATATAATAAACCAACTGGCATTATATTTGTATATTAAATTATAATATTAAATTACTTAAAAGTTTAAGTAGTCTATTAAAGTATTGATCATATATGTATGTATAAAATTTTGTTTAAAACTGGTTGCCTACAATATAACGTTCTTTTAGCGATAGGGCCGTTGAAATTTGTTGTGTGTTGTGGTGTACAATAAATAATAGTTTTCGTTCACTCATTCATATACTTATTATACATTTTCTTTTTCACAGGTTATGGTTCTGTTATACCTCGCATATATCCTGATCCACTTTATGTGGAAGAGGAAGAAGGACCCTGACAACGCGGCCATCCCATACCTCACCGCCTTGGGTGATCTATTAGGCTCCGTATTCTTAGGTTTAGCATTCGTCATACTATCGATCTTCGGCAAGGAATACGGCAACAATATATCCGATTAAGTACTTAAACACGTGGCTTAAAAACCAAAAAAAACTTATAATTGTCATGAATTGTAATACCGATCTGATGAAAAATGCTCTTTGCATGATACGATGGCTTTTGCACAAGATAGCATATAATTATCTTAAACATCAACATCATTGTGCTGTAAAAAATGTTTGAACGCCATTACGGTGTTAGCATTTACGTTAAAACGTTTGCGACGTATTAGATTCATTAATAGCTAAGTGTCATATCAGTATTAGGCACGTACATACATACGGACTGCTTAACTATTTTCGGTGCCAATTAATTTGGATGATATTTTAATATTGCGATGTGTAAAGCTATATTGCAACTACTATTTTTAAACGTTTTAATAAGTATTATCATAATATAAATGACACCTGCATAAGGCGCACTGTAAAAGTGCGCCATCTGTGATATGTTCCAAAAATGTGATTAACTGCAATTATTATATTGTATACCGTCTCGTTTCATGATGGACAATAATTTTGACCATGACACCATAAAAGGACATAACGCTGTAATGGAATATCAATCAATGATTATGCTTTTAGATAGACATGTTATTTTATTAATTGCTCGGTTTCCGACAGCTAAATCAATTGTTTTATTGGATAACTTTAATTTTGATATGGATTTGGAAAGCGTATAAGATATGAATATTCATCTCTGTACATGTAAAATTGAAGATCATGTAGATGTTATTCTATGAATCATGTAACTTTACTATATTATGTCCACTGTTTAATAAAATATTAAAATAAATTGACATGTGATTTAGATAGCTCTTTTCATTCTACGAAAATATCATTCCGATAGACTCTTAATCTCCATTCCGTGATAGTTTAGTTAGCTGTAATGTTAGCCCGTTACCTTAGAAGAACGAGTACAACAAAGCAATTTATAGTATTAAGCTATCTAATATAATTTATTTATAGTTATAAATTAATCAAATAGACGATTGAAAGAGATTTTTTCAAATACAGACCTATTATACTTAATTCGTGTAAGATCTCGTGACAGCGAAGAATGTTAGAAAAAAATTGTTTCTTTGAAACTACCTCTTTAATAGAAATTTTGAACACGATATCGTTATATACCAAATTATTTAGCAAATATTTGACCAACCGATTCTATATTTTGCATGATGACGCCGTTTTTACATTTTTAACGTAAATATTTGGTTTTCGTTTTAGTTGAAGTTTGGTGGTCACTGTTGCAGTTTAGGGTTAAAACCAAATGCGTCACAAAACTAATGTACGCAATAGTCTTAAGATATATATTTGAATGAATGATGTGATACAATTGAGATTTTAATATGTATGTATATAGTTGATTGTTATGTAGTACGTAGGCCGCAATATTGTCGTAATATTACTCCGGAAATCCATCAATTATTGTCGGATTATACAAAAGTTTTAGGGCTGATACACACTATAGTGCCAATCACGGTTCGCTCTCGGTGCGATATCGGTCTGGTAAAATATTGTTATACGAGAAACAATGAATGCATTCACACTATCAGTAAGAGTCACGTTCCAGACGAATCACACTCCAGCAACGTTTCTTGTATAAAAAAAACTTTACCAGACTGGATATCGGACCGAAAACTGACTGTGATCGGCACTATAGTGTGGATCGGCCCTTAATATATAAAGCTCAATATTTATTATAGCTTAAAATGAAATACAGGAAATGAAAATTAGTATGGATTTTGTTAAGTAATATGTCCCGATCCGACAATAATACACACGGTAGATAAATTCCCAACGAGGGACACAAAAATTGTTACAAATAAACAGTATTTTTAATTGCAAATGATTGAAATTGAATGTTTAAAATGTACTTTTTTTTAATTGGGGATTTTTATTTTATTAAAAATACTATAAAATTGATTGATGTTTTTATTTTTTATTTTTTTAATATTCCTGTTTTCGGATCATGTTTAAAGAAATGTTTTAGGAAAACGTGTAGTGCCTGTTATAAAACCTGTTTTATCGTGCAAATGATCTCTATTTTCGATGTTCCAATGTATATAATTTATATGCTATTTTTATTGATTATTAATCGATTAAAGATATAACCAAATGCCTATCTTTTGATTTCCTTTTTAGTTCTATCGAACTCGTACAATTGCTTATATGTATAGACCAAAGAATTAATATTTAATTTTATATATGAAAATAAGTTTGCCTGTTTATAACAACTTCTCAACGTTCTTCCATTTTTTTTTATATGTATAGATTAGAGCAGGGAACAAAGGTTACCTGTCATTAAATTACTAAATTTCAAAAAAATACTCAAGGCATTCACTTCGCTTGGATACATAGATCTTATGAAATTTACGAGTGCATAGAGGACAAACAAATATACAAAGGAAAATGCTATCTTATTTCATTTTTGGACCAGTAGCCTTTTTTTGACATTGGGAAATGCATTTACGCACGAGGTGTGGTACTCACCGGCAAAGCCAGTACTACCCACTAAAACTCAACAAAACCTTCCCCCGTCTTAATGGGGCGTCGCAGAATCGCTTACGCATTCAACTACAACGCCCCGACGGCAGTCTGCCGAAGCAGACCACAACAACCACGGGGTTGCTCCAAGGTCCACTCTGCTATCATAGATGTACCAAGAGCAACCCGCATGGCACACCACCCACGAAAGAGGGCCACCTTCCACCACCCACCGAAGTGGGCCACCTCCCACCGCCCACCGAAGTGGGCCACCTCGCTGAGTGTTTCTTGGCTTCGTGCCCGGCTGGTTGCCGGGCATTACTGAACCCCCGAACCACGTCTAGGTGAACGCACGTGGGGGGGTTGGACCAGTAACCTACACGAACTTACGCATAACAACTTACTAAAACTTCATCATAATCGGATGAGTGACTTAGAAACGCAGAGTATAAACATATAAACATTAAATTATAGTCTAGTCGACAAGTAACTTTTAGGTCAAGTTATTTCAGCAGCCTCGGAAAAATATGAACGAGGTGTCATTCGATTCAGAATGACTGTACTTAGATGTTTTTTTTAAATAATCTACATGCCATTTGACACCATCTGCATGCAAACTGCTGAAAAAAATACTGGAGTATCCATACTAATATTATAAATGTGAAATTGTGTTTGTTTGTTTGTCTTTCTTTCACGTCGAAACGGAGTGACGGATTGGCGTGATTTTCGGTGTGAAGATAGTTGGAGAGCTGGAGAGTGACATATGTAGCCCGAGAGCACGTGACGAATTTTGGGAAGGTCCTTTTGGCAAGTTGAAATTGTGAAAAAAAATCGTGAATTTGCGAGTCCAGACCCGCGAGTCTGGTATAGCTCTAGCGGTTATTTCGCTCGATTCTCAACTCGCATTCGCAACTCGATTATTAAACAATAATCGAGTTGCCAAAAATATATTTGCCAATTATATTGTGTATTGTGCAAGCGTAATCATTGTTTTATACATTTTTTATTAATTTTAACATCCAGGGTTAATGCTACTTTTTATCGCGGGAGATCATCTCATTCCACGGGAAAACACGTTATAATAAAAAATTATTTCTGATCAGAATTTCTTTAAACTTGGTATTAATGCCCTTCAAGACAAATAAATAAATACGTGTTTTAGCATTTTTCTAAATTCATCCTATAAGGGGGTAAAATAGGGGATAAAAGTTTGTATGAAACCTAGGTACCTACCCTTTTAGTGATGTTTTTGTAGTTTTAGCGCGAGCGAAGCCTCGGGTTCTGCTAGTAATATTATATACGTAAAAACCGATGTGTATGTACATATGTACATACCTATGTTCCTTATGAACGCCAAAACGGCAGCAGCGATTTTGATGAAATTTTCAGACAATCTTCAGATTAGCCCAGCGGGTGATCCTATGAAGTTTGGTAGCGATCGGAAGTTTAAACGCGAGCTAAGCCGCGGGTACTGCCAATAATGTTATAATACAACAGGTGTCTAAGTACGCACCAGAGTAAAGCGAGGTTCAGTCGATAGTTCAAACAAACATTTGCATGCAAGCAATAAAAATTCATATAAACAATCATATGACTATGAAGAAACACCACAGTGAAATATGTAATGTGACAATTACATACAGATATGTTATCTTGATGATAATGGTCTTCATATTTTTTAAGTATTTTATTTATTTTGTTGGAACGGCGCTTATGTAGAACTGAGTAATTTAGTAAATCTCTCTTAGATTAACTCTTGATCTTTTCGGATCTTTTTTTTTGGGAGAGATTCACTCTCCTATGACCATGATTGCTGTAAGCATTCGAAACTTCGGGAACCAAAAATTAAAATAAATCCGCGAAAAAATCCGAAAAGATTTATTTAAAGTAAGAATTAACTAATAATACTGTCTTTTCGACCGATTTCGGCCACGGCGGTCAATCTTATTGAAACTAGCCATCTGTGCAGGAGATATTGTAGTGCACAAGTGTGCGCGCAGACACAGTGCACTCTCTACTCCTGTCACTCTCATACTCCGACGGAATTAGTGAGAGTTAAGGCGCAGATGTCTATAGGTGCGCTCCGATTCCGAAGTACGGAGTCGAAGCACAATTTTCCAACTCTGGGCCATTACTATGAGAATTTCTTGTCAAACTCAATAGCTAAACTTGGCTCGATCCGGGAGTCGAAACCAGGACCTCCTGATCTGCGGCCATACATGCTAGCCACTAAACCACCGAGGCAGTTAAAATGAGTAATTTGGGTTTAAAGGGTAGCAGCAAGTAGTAGATACAATGAAGCGTGAACATTCTAATAAATATATTCCACGGGGACGAGGGACCACTGCAATAAAAATATTATAATTAAATAAAAGTACTAGTCCATTTCAGTCTTCATTCCATAAATAGAAGGCAGAAAGGTACAGTAAGTCTTTTATAATGTTTTTGTTAATTTTAACTTAGAAGATATTATATTAAACTTAGAATATTACAATAACTTACTGCATGGAACACAATCCTATTATCAATCTAAT